CTATACGTTAGCAACAACCCAGATAGCACACTAGCAGTACGTTAGCAACACGTCAGACAGCACACTAGAAGTACGTTAGCAACAAACCAGACAGCACCTAAGCAGTACTTTATCAACACGCCAGACAGAACATCATCAGTACATTATCAACGCCGGACAGCAAGCTAGCAGTACGTTAGCAATACGCCAGACAGCGGACTAGCAGTACGTTACCAACACGCCAGATAGCACACTAGCAATACGTTAGCAATACGCCAGACAGCAGACTAGCAGTACTTTACCAACACGCCAGACAGCGCACTAGTAGTACGCTAAGAAAACGCTAGACAGCTTACCAGCAGTACTTTACCAACACGCCAGACAGCGCACTAGTAGTACGCTAAGAAAACGCTAGACAGCTTACCAGCAGTACTTTAGCAATACTCCAGACAGCACACTAGCAGTACTTTAGCAATACGCCAGACAGCACACTAGCAGTACGTTAGCAACATGCCAGATAGCACACTTGCAGTACGTTAGCAACACGCCAGACAGCAGACTAGCATTATGTTAGCAACACGCCAGACAGCAGACAGCAGTACTTTCCCCAAGTCTGTAAAGCATGAGAAGGAGGCGATCTTTTTAAAACAAAAGAATTTCTATGTATTATCAGAATTTTACATTTCGACCCCTTATATTCGACACATTTTCTAAACTAATCTTGATTAAAGAGGTCTGATTTGAATATAAGTTTTCAATCTGAATGACTTCGTCTACCAGACGGGACAATTTCTAACTTATTAAAATTTAGTCTAAATTACCGGACAATTTCTAACCTATCAATGTTGATAGGCTAGAAATTGTCCGGTCATTTAGCCTACATTTTAATAGTTTAGAAAATATCCGTTCATAGAGCCTATAGTTTAATAGGTTAGAAAATGTCCAATCATTGAGCCTATAGCTTATTAAACTATAAATTATGATCCTCTATTTTACGGGTCCCTAATTCTTCACCTCTAAAGGGCCTCTAACTTGATGTCCTCTAATGTACGAGTCCCTAATTCTTCACCTCTAAAAGGCCTCTAAGTTGATGGCCTCTAATGTACGAGTCCCTAATTCTTCACCTCTAAAGGGCCTCTAAGTTGATGGCCTCTAATTTACAAGTCCCTAATTCTTCACCTCTAAAGGGCCTCTAAGTTGATGGCCTCTAATTTACGGGTCCCTAATTCTTCACCTCTAAAGGGCCTCTAAGTTGATGGCCTCTAATTTACGAGTCCCTAATTCTTCACCTCTAAAGGGCCTCTAAGTTGATGTCCTCTAATTTACGAGTCCCTAATTCTTCACCTCTAAAGGGCCTCTAAGTTGATGGCCTCTAATTTACGAGTCCCTAATTCTTCACCTCTAAAAGGCCTCTAAGTTGATGGCCTCTAATTTACGAGTCCCTGATTCTTCACCTCTAAAGGGCCTCTAAGTTGATGTCCTCTAATTTACGAGTCCCTAATTCTTCACCTCTAAAGGGCCTCTAAGTTGATGGCCTCTAAATTACGGGCCTCTAAGTCGTGAACCATTAAGTAATGAAATTGACCTGGTTTTTGTCAGCTGTTCAGGTCTCTCCGCCATTACCTGAAACGGTCCAATCCTTGTAAAGTGTTGATGTATACCCAATCAATCATCAACACGGCTATCGATTGCAAGATCACTTATAAACACAATTAATCTACGTCAACAGGTCAGTCAGTTAGTCCCATTCATATACTAGCAAAACAGTGTACTAGCCGGCGACGATCTATGGACATAGATGTGTGATATACATGTTGTTGGTTCGCTGACGATGGCTTCCTGCCGACACTTTGTTGTTTTGTTGCGTTCTTTTTTTTAGGTTTTCCCTTGCTTTGTTTTAGTCATTTCCTTTCTTTTTTTCTTTTCTTTTTTTCTTTTCTTTTTTTGCTAACTTGATTGCAGTCCCTCCCCCTTGTTACCACTGCATGTGTAGCTTGTTCTCGGAGCTTGGCTGGATAGGCCATGTAAGGAAACTTGAGGAAGCCCGGGTCTTAAAGGATCCAATGGATGGAGAGTTGGCAGAAAGGGCAAGACTTATGGGATGGCTGCGGCTGCTATTTAAGGACGTTTGCGAAAGGAGCCTGAGGGAATCCAACATAGAAACCAACCAATGGGAGATCATCGCTGAGCACCGTTCCAGTTGGCGACCAGCAGTATATGAAGGAGTCCAACGGGCAGAAGATGTGCGAAACAAGGCCCATGCAACAAAAAGTGGATTACGGAATGTCACATTCAAATAAAAGTCAGGGTTCTCCTGCGTGAGATGCAGCCGAGATTGCTACTCCAGGATCATTTGATGATTTGTCAATAGCTACTCCGTCGTCTTATGAAGACGGACGGATGACACACACACACATATGTATATATATATATACATTATATATAAAATAAAGTTTATTTAAAAATGACGCTTCATCCACAAATTCTCGAAGCGTGGTACAAAGTCAACCACATTAAAAGAGAAATGAAACAATCTATATTTTACCACATTGAAATATAAAACGCAACATTACAAAAACTACAGACGAGCAAACCCAAAGCTATACCAACTATGGGAAAGGAAAGTCTGTATGACGAGAGCAATGACAATGGAGCTATGACAACCAGCAGCATAATATTCCAACACAAACAAATACATAAAGCGACATGGATATCTTCCGATGGATTTACCCTTAATCAAATTTACCACGTACTCATTGACGGAGGCATGGCTCGGACATATGAGATGTACAAATCCGTAGAGGGACAGACAAAGACATACTTGTAAGAATAAAAAATATGTTTAGAAATTCTAACATCCACAGAAAAACTAAGTAAAAGCTAAAAACAGAACATTAGCAAGATTTAATTAGGGACCCAATTACATCAATGGAAGATTGAAACTCAACTAAAATCGTTCAAACGTGAAAGGGCCAAAATCAATATAAATGAGCAATTGGAAAAAAATGGAGCATAAAATGAACAGTGTGACATGTGAGCAATAGGATTCAAACAGACAGGGAAAATAACTGGATGGTATGACGTAGATTGCAGAGTACGTATAGAAGAAAGAAACAAGGTTCAGTTATTAAGAGGATTCTAAGAGACAGACCTCTGAGTCACATATATCTAAGACACAGACCTCTAAGTTACAGATATCAAAGAAACAGACCTCCAAGTTACAGATATCAAAGACACAGGCCTCTAAGATACAGATATCAAAGACACAGACCTCCAAGTTACAGATTTCCAAGACACAGACCTCTAAGTTACAGATATCAAAGACAAAGACCTCTAAGCTACAAATCTCAAAGATACAGACCTCTAAGTTACAGCTATCCAAGAAACAGACCTCTAAGTTACAGATGTCAAAGACACAGGCCTCTAAGTTACAGATATCAAAGAAACAGACATCCAAGTTACAGATATCAAAGACACAGACCTCTAAGATACAGATATCAAAGGCACAGACCTCCAAGTTACAGATTTCCAAGACACAGACCTCTAAGTTACAGATAGCAAAGACACAGACCTCTAAGCTACAAATCTCAAAGATACAGACCTCTAAGTTACAGCTATCCAAGAAATAGACCTCTAAGTTTAAAAAATATCAAAGTGATAGACCTCTAAGTCACAGATATCTAAGACACAGACCTCTAAGTTACAGATATCAAAGACACAGACCTCTAAGTTACAGATATCTAAGACACAGGCCTCTAAGTTACAGATATCTAAGACACAAATCTCTAAGTTACAGATACCCAAGACACATACCTCTAAGTTACAGATATCTAAGACACAGACCTCTAATTTACAATTATCAAAGACACAGACCTCTAAGTTACAGATATCTAAGACACAGACCTCTAAGTTACAAATGTCAAAGACACAGACCTCCAAGTTACAGATATCCAAGACACAGGCCTCTAAGTTACAAATCTCAAAGACACAGACCTCCAAGTTACCGCTATCCAAGACACAAACCTCTAAGTTACAAATATCAAAGACACAGATCTCGAAGTTACAAAAATACAAGACACAGACCTCTATGCCGCGGGCCTCTAAATAATATGAAGGGAAGCGACCAAATTGTGTAGAAGCGTTCAGGTGTGATCATACTATTTTACACTTTTCCTAATTTCTTTGACCAGTCTTACAATGTGACGCTTTAATTATCACTAAGATAGGGACCCTAAATAATGCACCAGCCAAGTAAACATCTTAAAGTCGTCCCATTGAAATCGTTTGAGAAATGTCCCAGAAATAGCGTTCATAATGAAAGGACATTAGTGCCCCTTGTCCCAACAATTGGAAATAATATAAATTCAAAACCCTCTTATTTTTCAATTAGATTTGAAAGATCTTTTGTAATAAGTTATGTTTAGATCTTTTCATTTAAGATAATTTTATTTTTATGTATCTTAAATAAGAAAAAATAACTTAATCTTTCATATTTTACAGCAGCGATTATCTTAGGTTACACACTGTCACAAATGACTGGGGCATGGTTACTGGACAGAGCTCCATTGTTGTTAACTGATAGGATGGACGGAAATAGCTGTCATTTTAGGGAGGGCATTGTTAATTGGGTGAAGTTAAGGTCAACAGATCGTCTCATCCTTGAGATTGGGGGGGGGGAAGGAGGGGGGGGGGTTGCTTCGTTCGATAACATTATGCTTCGGGCCTTCCAGACTTCGCATGGTAATTATGGGGTTAACAACGGGAAGTGCTAATTAACCGGAAACTAGTTGGCAGGGGTGTGTCTATAAATAGCATTCCTGTGCCACCTGGGGGGGGGGGGGGGGGGGGGGGGGGGGGGGGGGGTTGCTTCGTTCGATAACATTATGCTTCGGGCCTTCCAGACTTCGCATGGTAATTATGGGGTTAACAACGGGAAGTTCTAATTAACCGGAAACTAGTTGGCAGGGGTGTGTCTATAAATAGCATTCCTGTGCCACCTATGGAGGTAGAGAATAGCATATAAGAAAGAGGACAGTTGGTAAGGAATCGTTGCAAGAGATCAGGAGACGTGTTGACAAGTGGAACATAGGAATAGGTGATCTGTTTTTTATCTTAGCAATAAACATATTAATTTCATCAGCGGGACACCTGGAGTTTGTGTTGTTGCATTTTCGTCCAAGTCTACGTTGTGCTTTGTCTGTCCCAACGCCTAGATACCCACCGTATAAATTACAGAGAGGATCGGTGCTGTACTGACCACTGCTAAATCAATGCAGTCTGTGATAAGTCAGGACCGGAGCCCTCCTCCGTAACAGCCATTCTGTGACACACACTTTAAAAAAATAAAACTGCCACATTAAAATGGACTAACGAAGGGGACTCCCCTTCGAAGCAAATGTGGATATGGTCAGCAGGAATGACCATGAGGATATGGTCAGCAGGAATGACCATGTGGATATGGTCAGCAGGAATGACCATGAGGATATGGTCAGCAGGAATGACCATGTGGATATGGTCAGCAGGAATGACCATGAGGATATGGTCAGCAGGAATGACCATGTGGATATGGTCAACAGGAATGACCATGAGGATATGGTCAGCAGGAATGACCATGGGGATATGGTCAGCAGGAATGACCATGTGGATATGGTCAGCAGGAATGACCATGTGGATATGGTCAGCAGGAATGAACATGTGGATATGGTCAACAGGATTGACCATGTGGATATGGTCAGCAGGAATGACCATGTGGATATGGTCAGCAGGAATGACCATGTGGATACCGTCAGCAGGAATGACCATGTGGATACGGTCAGCAGGAATGACCATGTGGATACGGTCAGCAGGAATGACCATGTGGATATGGTCAGCAGGAATGACCATGTGGATACGGTCAGCAGGAATGACCATGTGGATACGGTCAGCAGGAATGACCATGTGGATATGGTCAGCAGGAATGACCATGTGGATATGGTCAGCAGGAATGACCATGTGGATATGGTCAGCAGGAATGACCATGTGGATATGGTCAGCAGGAATGACCATGTGGATATGGTCAGCAGGAATGACCATGTGGATATGGTCAGCAGGAATGACCATGTGGATATGGTCAGCAGGAATGACCATGTGGATATGGTCAGCAGGAATGACCATGTGGATATGGTCAGCAGGAATGACCATGTGGATATGGTCAGCAGGAATGACCATGTGGATATGGTCAGCAGGAATTACCATGTGGATATGGTCAGCAGGAATGACCATGTGGATATGGTCAGCAGGAATGACCATGTGAAATTGGGTTGCGATCCATTGTTTTCTTTTCTTGCCGTCGATCGACACTATTGGAAACCTAATTACACTTTATATAATATGTATACATAAGACTGGCAGCAAAAGTTGAAACATAAAAACATCCAAAACATGTTCAATTGAGTAGGAGATCTGGGGGAAAACATGAAGTATGTTAACAAGAACGGAATGTTAAGTTTATATTGACGTTTCACCTTTAAGATGTGTTGAATTTTTCTATTGGACAGGGCGATTGTCATAGCTTACAACATACCAACTTGTAGTAACACGATTGGGAAGGTGTTGAACTTATCCAGGGAACATGTGGTAAGTGGATGAGGTAATGTCAGTGGTGGATGAAGTGTGGTGGTTTATGGATGAAGTATCTTTGATGGATAAGGTTTGATGGGAGTTGGATGAAGTATGATGCTTGATGAATGAATTATAATGGTTGATGGATGGAACATGATGCTTGATTAATGAACTATGATGTTTGATAAATGAAGTATGATGTTTGATGAATGAAATATGATGTTTGGTGGATAAGATTGATGTGATTTTTATTTGTTATGATGGTTGATGAATGAAATATAAAGGTTGATGAATGAAATATAATGGTTGATGAATGATGTGTGATGTTTGATGGGTGAGCTGTAATGTATGATGAATGGAGTATGATGGAAGAAGATGAAGCATTATGTATGATGTCGTATGATACTCGTCTGATTAATGATTGATGACGCATGATGCATATTAAATTTTAAATTTTATAAATTTTTTGAAAGCCTTTGATAGTGTTGAAAAAAAAAACTCTGTGGACACTATTGCGTCACTATGGTATTCTACATAAAGAGAACAGTTATAATGAAATACACTGATCACAATATGAGCTGCGGTGCTGTTCGTGGGGGAAACCAATAGAGTCTTTTGAGATAGAGTCTTTTGAGATAGAGTCTTTTGAGAAAGAGTCTTTTGAGAAAGAGTCTTTTGAGATAGAGTCTTTTGAGATAGACTCTTTTGAGATAGACTCTTTAAGACAGTGTCAAGAGTGCTACAGGACTGTCTAATCTCCACAGTCCTCGTTACAGTCATATATTGGATCATGAGCAATGCTACTAAGATTGGAGGAAATGACATACCATGGACTCATTTTGGACCTGGATTTTGTGGATAACATCGCCCTGTTATCCCTAAGCCACTAAAAAAAAATAATTAACAGAACTTCAAAACTTCAAATACCAGAGAGATTGGACTTGCAAGAAAGGAGATCAAAAATCATTGGATGAGAATGTCAGGAATGACTGAGGGGGGGGGGTGTTAACAACAGAGCTCCATTGTTCTTCAGATCATTTATAGGGTGGACGGAAAAACTGATGTGTTTTGGGATCGAGTAAGGTTAATAGATTTTCACATCTTTGAGATTGGCCCGCACCTATGGTTTCTTCCCAACATATTATGTCTCGGGGCTTCCAGACTTCGCATGACACTTTTGGTGTTGACGACGGACGTACTTCATTGACCAGAAATTGGGAGGGGGGTAGGAAGTTGTTGATAACTAGCATTCCTGGACCCCCTAGGGAGGTAGAGAATTGTATATAAGATAATAAGATAGAACTCTTGGTGACAGAACGGAGTGAAAGATTCGTGGACCGTCATTATGAAGTTGTAGACGCAGCGGTACTAGACGTACTCAAAGATACAATCAGTGATAGAGCGCTGTTGAAGTATTAGAGTTAGGACAGAAAAATTACTTAATTTGTTATTTTATTCCCATCAATCAATCTTTTATGTATAACTGTTACTGAGGAGTTGCGGGATCATTCATCAGTTGTTGTTTTTTTTTTTTACACTCCGTTGTACTTCTCAACGTCTGCGCTAGTGAACCATCACAGAGAGGAGCTGCCCCGTACTATTCACTACACCACCAATACCACTTGGTACGTGATCATAAGTACGGGGCATACCATCACAATACCATCCCATCTGTGACAGAGAATACATCCGAATAGCATTGGAGGTGTAGCATTAAGATGGAGAGTAGGAGGAAAGTTGATCGACCTGGGATGCTTAGTTCATAAGGTCGGGAAAAAAAAAAGGGGGGGGGGAGGAGAACGGTGATGGTTAATTTAAAAAAATTAGAAACTCTAGTAATTCACGAAACAGACAGCCAAATGTAAAATATCCGAATAGCATTGGAGGTGTAGCATTAAGATGGAGAGTAGGAGGAAAGTTGATCGACCTGGGATGCTTAGTTCATAAGGTCGGGAAAAAAAAAAGGGGGGGGGGGAGGAGATCGGTGATGGTTAATTTAAAAATATTAGAAACTCTAGTAATTCACGAGACAGACAGCCAAATGTAAAACTTTAACAAAAATATTAAGTATGTTATGTTTGATGGCTGAGAAAGCTGGAGATCAACCAAGAGAGGTTAGAAAATCCTTCAAACCTTCATCGAGAGTTGCCTGCATATAATCCTTAACATCAAGTTGTTCGCTAAACCCAAAATTCATCACTGGGCGAAATCACGATGCACAACTCCAAGAAATAATTTAATAAGCTCTAGCTGGATGGATGGTAGCTTGGGACAGTTGATGGATGAAAACACCAGACATTTGATATATGGATGATAGCATAAGAAAACTGATTGATAGGTAACAGCATAAGAAAACTGATTGATAGGTAATAGCATGAGACAACTGATTGATAAGCAAAAGCATGAGACAACTGATTGATAGGCAAAAGCATGAGACAACTGATTGATTGGAAAAAGCATGAGACGATTGATTGATAGGCAAAAGCATGAGACGATTGATTGATAGGCAAAAGCATGAGACAACAGATTGATTGGAAAAAGCATGAGACGATTGATTGATAGGCAAAAGCATGAGACAACTGATTGATTGGAAAAAGCATGAGACGATTGATTGATAGGCAAAATCAGGAGACAACTGATTGATAGGCAAAAGCATGAGACAACTGATTGATAGGCAAAAGCATGAGACGATTGATTGATAGGCAAAAGCAGGAGACAACTGATTGATAGGCAAAAGCATGAGACAACTGATTGATTGGAAAAAGCATGAGACGATTGATTGATAGGCAAAAGCATGAGACAACTGATTGATAGGCAAAAGCATGAGACGATTGATTGATAGGCAAAAGCATGAGACAACTGATTGATTGGAAAAAGCATGAGACGATTGATATATAGGCAAAAGCATGAGACAACTGATTGATAGGCAAAAGCATGAGACAACTGATTGATTGGAAAAAGCATGAGACGATTGATTGATAGGCAAAAGCATGAGACAACTGATTGATAGGCAAAAGCATGAGACAACTGATTGATTGGAAAAAGCATGAGACAACTGATTGATAGGCAAAAGCATGAGACGATTGATTGATAGGCAAAAGCATGAGACAACTGATTGATTGGAAAAAGCATGAGACGATTGATTGATAGGCAAAAGCATGAGACGATTGATTGATAGGCAAAAGCATGAGACAACTGATTGATAGGCAAAAGCATGAGACGATTGATTGATTGGAGAAAGCATGAGACGATTGATTGATAGGCAAAAGCAGGAGACAACTGATTGATAGGCAAAAGCATGAGACAACTGATTGATTGGAAAAAGCATGAGACGATTGATTGATAGGCAAAATCAGGAGACAACTGATTGATAGGCAAAAGCATGAGACAACTGATTGATTGGAAAAAGCATGAGACGACTGATTGATAGGCAAAAGCATGAGAACACTGATTGTAAGGCAAAAGCATGAGACGATTGATTGATAGGCAAAAGCAGGAGACAACTGATTGATTGGAAAAAGCATGAGACAAATGATTCATAGGAAAAAGCATGTGACAGTTGGTTACAAATATAAAAAGACAAGGATTGAACGTAAATGATTAATGGTCTATGTTGTGCTGCTACTGTTCCTATTTTAACTGGCTATGTTTCACTTTTGTCTTTATTACACTGTTAAATGTCTATATTCCGGTTTTAAATGTCTATGTTTCAGTGTTAAAGGTCTATGTTCCAGTGTTAAATGTCTATGTTCCAGTGTTAAAGGTTGATGGGCTATGTTCCACAAAAGTCCTGCGTACTGACAGACAATCATGTACGGACAGCGACATTAATGTCCCGACAGAGACAGTCCTGTTTGATCTCTTGACACATGTGGACAAGAAACGGGCGTTACGCGACAAACACAACGCCGGCTAAACACAATCTAATGGAGTGAAAATGAAATCAAGGGCGCATCTCAGCTCATCAAGTGGCTGTTCACATCATCTCCAACAAGATCATTTACACGCTGGTGTCATTGGTACACAGACTCTTGAGTCACACTGAGTGCGACGTCTCACTGATGTGTGTGACCTATGGTAGAGTAATTACATCACTTAAACAGAATGTTTAGCGATCTTAGTGATTTCATTATCAGATTTGTTAATGATTTCATAAAAAGAAAATATGATTTCATAATCGAACAATATGATTTGATAATAAAGCGATATGATTTCATAATCAGACAAGATGATTTCATAATCAGACAACATGATTGCATAATCATACAAGATCATTTCGTAATCAGAAAAAATGATTTCATTATAGGACAAGATGATTTCATCATCAGACACGCGATGCCATTGTCCTTGATACCCTAGATGCCATTGTCCTTGATACCCTACAGCTATATGTGATTGATTGATTGATTGGTTGATTGATTGGTTGATTGGTTGATTGATTGGATATTGATATAGCACTAGTATCCATGCTACTTCAGCATGTTCACTGTACTCTGGTTTACTTAAATCTATTTAAATAAAACAGTTTTTAAATGTTTCTTAAATGATTTTTTATCATTTTCAATTCCCCTCAAAGATTGAGGTAAACTGTTTCATAATTTTGATGCTATCGCCTTAAAAGAGAGCTCTCCGTAAGAATTTTTTCTGTGTCCATCCACACTAGGAACTCTCAGTAGGTACTGTATTGAAGACCCCAGGCTCTTTGAGGATACATGTTAATAAATCCGTTCTTTAAGATATTCCGGTACAGAGCCTTCTATGCAGCTGTACGCCTGGGACAATTTTTGTAATTAATGCGCTCACTCACAGGAACCCAATGGAGATCTCGTAGAACTGGGGTGATGTGGTCAGATTTTTTTATCCGCGTGCTGCAGTATTTTGTATTTTTTGGAGTCTCTGAATTTGGTTCTGAGGTAAACCCCACAAACAACTATTACAGTAATCTAATCTTGACTGGATTAGAGTTACCGCTACAGCATTGGCTGTTCTTTTATTGAGTTGAGAACGCAGCTGACCCAGGGCACGCAGATGACAGAAGCAAGCCTTGATCACAGAACTGATATGGGGAATCAATCTAAGTTTACTGTCAATATATAAGCCAATGTCTCTGACAGTGGAGGACAACAGGATCTCTGATTCACCAACTTTTATTGATGCGATGTTTACTATACGAAGATTGGCGTCTGAACCAAAAATAATTGCCTCAGTCTTATCATCATTTAATTTTAGTCTGTTTGATGACATCGAATCTTTCACAGCAAGACAGCAGTCCTGGACAGCCTGAACTGCAGCAGCACACTCCATAAATCAGGGCGGAAACAGTTGTATAGTTCTGTGTGTCTAAGATCTGTGTCGCTTACAGACAAATCATACATGGCCGCCAAATCTTTGTAGCGGCATCTCAGTTGGAACATTTGTTTGGAGCTAAAATCTCTGATTGTGTTGGTGGCTAATGATACTAGCTTGTGTCATGTGGTGTGCATCAATGACGTGTGTTGTTTGCATCTCTGACGTATGGTTTACATCAATCATGTGTGGTTTACATCAATGACGTATGGTTTACATCAATGACGTATGGTTTACATCAATGACGTATGGTTTACATCAATCATGTGTGGTTTACATCAATGACGTATGGTTTACATCAATGACGTATGGTTTACATCAATGACGTATGGTTTACATCAATCATGTGTGGTTTACATCAATGACGTATGGTTTACATCAATGACGTATGGTTTACATCAATGACGTATGGTTTACATCAATGACCTGTGATTTACATCAATGACGTATGGTTTACATCAATGACGTATGATTTACATCAATGACCTGTGGTTTACATCAATGACCTGTGGTTTACATCAATGACCTGTGGTTTACATCAATGACGTATGGTTTACATCAATGACATGTGGTTTACATCAATGACATGTGGTTTACATCAATGACGTATGGTTTACATCAATGACCTGTGGTTTACATCAATGACGTATGGTTTACATCAATGACCTGTGTTTTACATCAATGACGTATGGTTTACATCAATGACCTGTGGTTTACATCAATGATGTATGGTTTACATCAATGACCTGTGGTTTACATCAATGACCTGTGGTTTACATCAATGACGTATGGTTTACATCAATGACCTGTGGTTTACATCAATGACGTATGGTTTACATCAATGACCTGTGTTTTACATCAATGACGTATGGTTTACATCAATGACCTGTGGTTTACATCAATGATGTATGGTTTACATCAATGACCTGTGGTTTACATCAATGACCTGTGGTTTACATCAATGACCTGTGGTTTACATCAATGACCTGTGGTTTACATCAATGACCTGTGGTTTACATCAATGACCTGTGTTTTACATCAATGACCTGTGGTTTACATCAATGACTTATGGTTTACATCAATGACCTGTGGTTTACATCAATGACCTGTGGTTTACATCAATGACCTGTGGTTTACATCAATGACCTGTGGTTTACATCAATGACTTATGGTTTACATCAATGACCTGTGGTTTACATCAATGACCTGTGGTTTACATCAATGACGTATCCCCGTTTTCAAATAATGTGATTGGTTTATTTTTAAATTAATTGTATTTTGTTTTATTTTTCTATTGCGTCATGGGTAAAAAGAAGGGGGGGGGGTGTATTAGTGCTAACTGGCGTATTCGATTAAAATGAATCGCTTTGTTCCCTAGATGACGTCTTACATTTTTGTAATATATTGAATACGAAATGGTCGGCTTGATTTGAACGTGTTTTGTTTGTGATCCCGACCAGGTGGGCATGTTCAATGGAACGTTTACCTTATGGTCGGAGCCATCAATACAGGTACGTCAGTGCAATCAATACAGGTAGGTCAGTGCAATCAATACAGGTAGGTCGAAGCTATCAATACAAGTAAGCAAGAGACATCAATACAGGTAAGCAAGAGGCATCAATACAAGTGAGTCAGAGCTATCCCTAAAGTTACGTGATAGCCATCAATACAGGTACGTCAGTGCCATCAATACATATGAGTCAGGACCAGCAATACAGATAGGTCAGACCATCACTACAGGTAGGTGAGAGCTATCACTACTGTTACGTCAGAGCCATCTATACATGTGAGTCAGGACAATCACTACAAGTACGTCATAACCATCGACACAGGTAGGTCAGAGCCATCACTACAGGTAGGTCAGAGCCATCACTACAGGTAGGTCAGAGCCATCACTACAGGTTGGTCAGGCCATCACTACAGGTAGGTCAGAGCCATACCTAAAGTTAGGTCAGAGCCATCACTACAGGTAGGTCAGAGCCATCAGTACAGGTAAGACTTCAAGTGAATGCTCACTATTGGTAAAAGCAAATAAGAGGTAACAGAAAAATTCTAATTACACATCACTACTTATTTATTGCAATTACACATCACTACTCATTTATTGCAATTACACATCACTACTCATTTATGGAAATTACACATCACTACTCATTTATTACAACTACGCATCACTTATTTAATACAATTACACATCATTTTTTTGTTTATTACAATTACACATCACTTATTTATTTCAATTACACATCACTTACTTACTTATTTATTGCAACTACATATCATTTACTTGTGTATTACATTTGCACATAATTTACTTCTTTCTTGCAATTACATATCACTTATTTATTACATTTACACATCATTCACTTGTTTATAACAAATACACATCATTTACTCATTCATCACATTTACACACTACTTACTCACTACTTACAAACTACACACTAATATCAGAATCATAAAAACATCTTGTTAATGTCATCACTTCTTCAAGGCCATCAACCCTAACTGCCAACTGCCCAATCAAACAATCATCGTGGTGGCCAGGCAGGCCAGTTCTGGGACAACAAGCATCTTCACCTCGGCGTTAGCTGCTTTTGACGGACGGTGGAAGGCTACAAAAGGAACGTTCTCTGTAGGTGTTGATAACATCACCTATCAGCCCATCAAATGGGACGCAAGTAAGTCTTCTGATAGATGTGTCCAACAAGGTTGTGGAATGTAGTGGATGACAGTTTGATAGATGTGTCCAACAAGGTTATGGAATGTAGTTGATGACAATTTCATAGATGTGTCCAACAAAGTTTTCGTATGTAATGAATGGCAATTTGATAGGTCTGTCCAACAAAGTTATGAAATGTAGTGGATTACAATTTCATAGATGTGTCAAACAAGGTTATGGAAGGAAGTGGATTACAATTTGATTGATGTGTCAATTAATGTTATGAAATGTAGTGGATGATTATTTGATAGATGTGTCCAACAAGTTTATTGAATGTGGTCGATTAGTATTTGATAGATGTTTACAGCAAGGTTATGGAATGTAGTTAATTTGATAGATCTGTTCAACAAAGTTATGGAATGTAGAGGATGACAATTTAATAGATATGTCCAACAAAGTTATGGAATGTCTTGGATGACACATTGATAGTTTTGTCTAACAAGGTTATGGAATGTCTTGGATGACACATTGATAGTTTTGTCCAACAAGGTTATGGAATGTAGCAGATAAAAATTTGATAGATGTGTGAAATAAATGAAGGGACTATTTCATTCAGATGTGTGAAACAAGGTAATTGCATGTAGAGGATGACAATTTCATTGAGATGTCCAACCAGGATATGTAATGTAGTGAATGACATTTTCATTGAGATGTCCAACCAGGATATGGAATGTAGTGAATGACAATTTCATTGAGATGTCCAACCAGGAGATGGAATGTAGTGAATGACAATTTCATTGAGATGTCCAACCAGGAGATGGAATGTAGTGGCGGACAATTAGAAAGATGTTTTGTCCAACAAGGTTATGGAATGTATCAGATAAAAATTTGATAGATGTGTGAAATAAATGAAGGGACTATTTCATTCAGATGTGTGAAACAAGGTAATTGCATGTAGAGGATGACAATTTCATTGAGATGTCCAACCAGGATATGTAATGTAGTGAATGACATTTTCATTGAGATGTCCAACCAGGAGATGGAATGTAGTGAATTTCATTTTCATTGAGATGTCCAACCAGGATATGGAATGTAGTGAATGACAATTTCATTGAGATGTCCAACCAGGATATGTAATGTAGTGAATGACATTTTCATTGAGATGTCCAACCAGGAGATGGAATGTAGTGAATTTCATTTTCATTGAGATGTCCAACCAGGATATGGAATGTAGTGAATGACAATTTCATTGAGATGTCCAACCAGGAGATGGAATGTAGTGAATGACAATTTCATTGAGATGTCCAACCAGGAGATGGAATGTAGTGGCGGACAATTAGAAAGATGTTCCCCAATCGGTAATGGAATGTAGTGGACGACAATTTGATTGAAGTGTCCAACAAGGTTATGATATTTAGTGGATGAAAATGTGTGGTATGACCAACTAATATTCTCATTTATGTCCTACTAATAGTCTTATTCATTAACTGCCCAGTTGTGGTATGTCCTACTAATAGTCTCATTCATTCACTGCCCATGTGTGGTATGTCCTACTAATAGTCTTATTCATTCACTGCCCAGGTATGGTATGTCCTACTAATAGTCTCATTCATTCACTGCCCATGTGTGGTATGTCCTACTAATAGTCTTATTCATTCACTGCCCAGTTGTGGTATGTCCTACTAATAGTCTCATTCATTTACTGCCCATGTGTGGTATGTCCTACTAATAGTCTCATTCATTCACTGCCCATGTGTGGTATGTCCAACTAATAGTCTTATTCATTCACTGCCCATGTGTGGTATGTCCTACTAATAGTCTCATTCATTCACTGCCCTTGTGTGGTATGTCCTACTAATAGTCTCATTCATTCACAGCCAAGGTTTGGTATGTCCTACTAATAGTCTCATTCATTCCCTGCCCATGTGTGGTATGTCCTACTAATAGTCTCATTCATTTACCGCCCAGGTATGGTATGTCCTACTAATAGTCTCATTCATTTACCGCCCAGGTATGTTATGTCCTACTAATAGTCTCATTCATTCACTGCCCAGGTGTGGTATGTCCTACTAATAGTGTCATTCATTCACTGCCCAGGTATGGTATGTCCTACTGTCTCATTCATTCACTGCCCAGGTATGGTATGTCCTACTAATAGTCTCATTCATTCCCTGCCCAGGTATGGTATGTCCTACTAATAGTCTCATTCATTCAATGCCCATGTGTGGTATGTCCTACTAATAGTCTTATTCATTCATCGCCCAGGTGTGCTATGTCGACTAATAGTCTCCTTCAATCCTTTGCCAGATGTTGTACGCTATTTCGGCCCCACAAACCGTGACGTGGCTGGTTTGATTCGCTCCATAAGGTACACGGTTGGATTCCTGTCAGTCGGTGAAGCCCAGGTGGAGTTGGTGGATTACGCTGCCCTTGGGAATATGAACAACCGCTTCATTTTGCCGACAGCGTCCTCACTGCTGGTAAATATGTTTTTATGGACTCACTTTGTTTTTTTTTAAATTTGTCCAAACAGGGATCCATTTTAACCGTATTTTAAAAATGTTCACATTTCAATTTACAGGAAGCCATAAATTCTAAGGTCCATGAGGCAACTTTGACCCCTGACCTAGTGAACGCTCAGCTGCCTAATGCATATCCCCTGTCCAGCTATACATATTTCGCTTTCTACAAGACCCAGACAAGGGACTGTACTCTGGCCATGGAGCTTGTCAGGTCATATCCATTTAGTCAGTGAGATACATGTGTGGGGGATAGTCTTAGTAATGGATTTAGGATATCGAACACACATACAGTTGTACCTCGACATACGAGTGCCCTGACATACGAGATTTTTGAGCTGTTGAATGGGCGATGTTTTGCTTTGAGATACGAGAAATATTTGAGATACGAGAAATATTTGAGATACGAGAAATATTTGAGATACGAGAAACCGGATAAGCGGGTCGGCCGGCTGCAGTGACGAAAATTAAGCGAAAGTAACAAAACATTGTACAGTGGCATTTAAGTTCAGTGAAGTTTGGTCAAGTTCCATTAAGTTTATGGATATGTAGCATTTAGCGTTTCCAAAAATTATCGTCAACACATGTATGCAAGTGCGCTAAAGATTATAGTAAACTATAATTTTCAATTTAAATAACAAATATATAATTAAATTTTTAGTACTCTCAAACCCAAATTTTCATTCCATTAACAACTATACTAAACTCAAATATAGCTATTGCTACAACTTCCAATACATGTAGCCTTTCCTACAACTTCCAATAAATGTAGCCTGTCCTACAACTTCTAATGCATGTACCCTCTCATTCATCTTCCAATACATGCTTCTCCTACAGAGGCTATTACATATGTCAAAGTAACTCATAAACGACCGATCCAGATAGTTGGTCTATATCTTGGTAAATATCGTATCTTTCTGCAGATATATTCAATGGCTCATCACTGACCCAGCTGCCAAGAATGACGCAGAGAGTGTCGGCTTCAGCACCCTGAGTGTCGGGATGGGGAGTCGTGTCGTCAAAGAGGTGTTGGAACACGTGACGTGCAAGGGTCAGCTAGTGATGGACATGGTCCAAGCGGACGTAGAGGAGGTCACTGTCGACAAGTCGTGGCTGGTACCTGTGGCAGTCACAGGTAAGATGAGACGCTGAGCAGTACGATCGTGACAGGTTAGGTGGTAGCAGTTAAGTTAGCGGCTGTGGCAGCTTAGACAGTGAAAGTGACAGCTAAGATATTGACAGTGACAGCTAAGATAGTGACAGTGGCAGCTAAGATAGTGACAGTGACAGCTAAGATAGTGACAGTGACAACTGAGATACACTATTCCAGTCAACCACGTTACATCACACTTGACCCTTCTAGAAGTTAAAACACACAACCACCTGACACACAACCACCTGACACACAACCACCTGACACACAACCACCTGACACACAACCATTTGACACACAACCACCTGACACACAACCACCTGACACAATACCGCCTGACTCACACAACCCCAAGGATTTAAAAGTTTGATTACATTCATCCCCAATTCCTGTATTCCTATTGGTTGTTATCTTTGATTCATCCCCAGTTCCCGTGTTTCTATTGGTTGTTGGCCTTATGGCCGTGTACATCATCTTCCAGCGCCTTAAACTGAACACAATGATCAACATGGATGACTGGAACATTCCAATTGAGGACATTGTCTTTTACTATGACGAGAAGGTAGGGATGCCGTAAACCAGAGCTCCGCAACGGTGTGCCGCTGAACACTGGTGTGCCGCTGAACACGGGTGTGCCGCTGAACACTGGTTTGCCGCTGAACGCTGGTTTGCCGCTGAACACTGGTGTGCCGCTGAACACTGGTGTGCCGCTGAACACTGGTGTGCCGCTGAAAACTGGTGTGCCGCTGAACACTGGTGTGCCGCTGAACACTGATGTTCCGCTGAACACTGGTGTGCCGCTGAACACTGGTGTGCCGCTGAACACTGGTGTGCCGCTGAACACTGGTGTGCCGCTGAACACTGGTGTGCCGCTGAACACTGGTGTGCCGCTGAACACTGGTGTGCCGCTGAACACTGGTTTGCCGCTGAACAATGGTGTGCCGCTGAACACTGGTGTGCCGCTGAACACTGGTGTGCCGCTGAACACTGGTGTGCCGCTGAACACTGGTGTGCCGCTGAACACTGGTGTGCCGCTGAACACTGGTGTGCCGCTAGGAGAGCCGCGGGAAAAACTCTTCTAAGGGGATGAAAAGCATATGCGGATGATTTAAATTCTTTGAAATGAGTGGGACAATGAGTGGGACAATGAGTGGGACAATGAGTGGGAGAATGAGTGGGACAATGAGTGGGACAATGGGTGGGACAATGAGTGGGACAATGAGTGGGATAGTGAGTGGGACAATGAGTGGGACAATGAGTGGGGCAATGAGTGGGACAATGAGTGGGACGATGAGTGGGACAATGAGTGGGACAATGACGGCGCCAGTGATTGGCACAATGAGTGGGACAATGAGTGGGACAGTGATTGGGGCAATGAGTGGGACAATGAGTGGGACAATGACGGGGCCAGTTATTGGGACAATGAGTGGGACAATGACGGGGCCAGTGATTGGGACAATGAGTGGGACAATGACGGGGCCAGTGATTGGGACAATGAGTGGGACAATGAGTGGGACAATGACGGAGCCAGTGATTGGGACAATGAGTGGGACAATGAGTGGGACAATGACGGGGCCAGTGATTGCGACAATGATTGGGACAACGAGTGGGACAATGACGGGGCCAGCTATTGGGACAATTAGTGGGACAATTAGTGGGACAATGAGTGGGACAATGACGGCGCCAGTGATTGGGACAATGATTGGGACGATGGTTGTGACAATAATTAAGACATTGATTGGACAATAACTAGGACACGTATTGCGACAATAATTGAGGAAATTATTGGGAAAATGACATTGACAGAGATTTGGGCCAATGATTGGGGCAATGATTGGGACAATGATTGGGCCAATGACATTGACAGAGATTGGGCCAATGACTGGGCCAATGACATTGACAGAGATTGGGCCAATGACTGGGTCAATGACATTGACAGAGATTGGGCCAATGACTGGGCCAATGACATTGACAGAGATTGGTCCAATGACTGGGGCAATGATTGGACCAATGATTGGGACAATGATTGGGACAAAACAAGTTATAAAAGGTATAAAAAAGTGGGGGTAGGGTGGATAGAGATCAACCATCTGGTTTGAACTTGTTTCAGATGCAGCTGGCTTCGGTCAGTGGCAAGTCCAGGTTCCTGAGACAGAAGTCGGTCCGATCTCTGAAATCCATCGGGGAAATCTCTGAAGGTCCCGAGCTGCTATCTCAGATTCTCCAGTGGCCTGGGAAGCTTAGGGCCAACACGGTCGGCATACGGCTGCTGGACGTCCTAGAGCTCAGGTAAAATACAATGTTTATTTGTTTGTTATATTCGATGTTTCCTGTATAACTGTGTGCAGTGACGGATCCAGGGGTACAATTTTAATTTCAAAATTGTAATGTCCGAAATTGTAATGTCTAAAATTGTAATGTTTTCAATTGTAAAGTCGTGTTAAGTTTCCTAAAAAACTGTTTAAAAAAGTGAGTAATTTGTGTCTCAAACCGGTCTTTTTAATTGCCTGCATTTCTGAGTAAAAGTTGGGTACACATACAAAACGACATACGACTGAAACAGAATGTACAGACATACGACTGTGACAAGACTTACAAACATGAATTGTCAAATGATTAACGGGCATGCATTGTGACAGAACTAACTTGCAAGAAACGTCCTTGCAGGTCTGTCAGTAGAGAGATGAAGAAAGCGATGCTGTGGATGAGAGACACCATCATCAACACAAACATCGTCCGTTTCTATGGACTGACCGACCTGGACGGGGACAGATACGTCATCGGGGACTACTGCAGCAAGGGGACAATACTCGACGTCATCCAGGTACCTGAAATGTCTTACTGAACCTTAAAGGTTAAGACACGTTGTTATGTATTGTAGTACTTCAATATCACAGCACTTCAATATCACAGTACTTCAATATCACAGCACTTAAATATCACATTACTTTAATTTCACAGTACTTCAATATCACAGTACTTGAATATCACAGCACTTTAATATCACAGTACTGATCTATTGCCTTACTGATATCTGCAGTACGGATCTATCACAGTACTGTTATATTTAAGTAAGGATCTATCAGGGTACTGCTCTATCATAGTACTGCTCTATTACTTTAACACAGTAATGTTATATCATAGTGCTGTTATATCATTCCACTTTTATATCAAGTCATTGCTTTATCGTAGTACTGTTATATCACAGTGCTGATCTGTCATGGCATCGCTATATTAATAATATTGTTTTATTATAGTACTGATGTATCATAACAGTGTTATTTCATTGCCTTTCCCGATCGACCCTATGCTTTATTATTGTACCATTAACTCATAGGCATAGTATTTCACATTAGTATCTCATAGCGCTTTTATATCGTACTACTGCTAGATCAAGACACTGTTATAACACGGCACTGTCATATCATGACTTTGTCATATCATGGCACTGTCATATCATGGCATGGTCATATCATGGCACTGATCACTAGCTGTTTGCTTGTTAATGTGTTGAAATATTTAGTTGAAGTTTTTATCTTATGGCCAACTTTATCAAAGTTCAAATCTGTGCCATGATCTGTCCTTGTTTGAACTGACCCATTTTCAGATGATAATTGGGGCGATATCTTCAGTTATAAATTGGGAGGAGGACATTGGCATTCTAAAAATTTTAATGACAGATATTCTATTGACTGATTTTTCTCTAATCTGTCTGGTATGATAGAAAGAAGAAAACTTGTAGTATTGTTACGGAAGATCTTAAAATAACTTGAAGTATTGTAATGGAAGATCTTATAATAACTTGAAGTATTGTAACAAAAGATCTCATAATAACTTGTAGTATTGTAAATGAAGAGCTTATACTAACTTGTAGTATTGTAACGGAAGATCTTATAACAACTTGTAGCATTGTAACGGAAGATCTTATAACAACTTGTTGCATTGTAACGGAAGATCTTACAATAACTTGTAGCATTGTAACGGAAGATTTTATAATAACTTGTAGCATTGTAACGGAAGATTTTATAATAACTTGTAGCATTGTAACGGAAGATTTTTTAATAACTTGTAGCATTGCAACGGAAGATCTTACGGAAACAAAAGATTCTTGTATACTATCATTTTCTTTGTTAATTTTTTTTTTTTAAACTTAGAACTTGAAAGAATAATGGTAACATATTTTGCTATATAATGGTACTATGTTGAAATTCATCGAAATATCTGAACTAGCAAAAGTACCCGCATTTCTCGAGTTTGTATTTGAAAACAAATTCTAAAGTATTATCTGCGTATGTGTAATTTTATTGCCTTTTTCAATATACTTTACTAACATACAAAAAAAAATGTAAAAAAATAAATGTCATATTAAATAAATATTTAAATTGGGACCATCTCATTGCAGTTAGTACAAAAATAGCCAAAAAGCCATGATTTATCTATAAATATAACATGATGCCATGTTAAAATTGTATTCACTTATGCCAAAAAAAAAATATCAGATAAATTTTCAAGTAATCTGTTCAAAACTATTTCATTAAAATGGGAAGGAATTTCGAAGATTTTGTCTTTTAATTGTTTAGTTTTGAGGGCCACAGACGTTTGGTGCGTACTATTTTCTGTTTTTCTGAACAATTTGGTACAATAAATATGCTCTGTAAAAGCTGGTGGGTCATTCGAAGAAGAATAACTTAAGGGACTTTAGAAAATGTGTGGTTGTGCGCCTTTTTTTTGTGGGGGGGGGGTAGTGGTGGTTTGGGGGGGGGGACTAACTGGGATTCTTATAAAGTGCGTTACTTGTTTGTATGTATTTTCAAAGATGTTCAACCCAAACCCATTGCTCGATGTTACATTTTATAAAGGGCTTATACGCATAACTTTGCTTCTAGGAGTTGTTGATTAATAATGAAGTTACAAGTCTTCTCGGTGGCCCGCACCAAGAGTTTTACCAACAAGACATACAACTTACGAGCTAGGAGAGAATTTGTTTCTCTTTTTTGCATTTTTTAGATTATTAATTTGCTCATACGTTTTTTCGGACGTTCATCTGACTTTAAGGGATATTGTCTGATGTGATAGGATATTTTTTTTCTGATTTGATAGGATATGTGTCTGATCTAATAGGATATTTGTCTGATCTGATAGGATATTTGTCTGATCTGATAGGCTATTTGTCTGATTTGATAGAATATTTGTCTGATTTGATAGATATTTGTCTGATTTGATGAGATATTTGTCTGATCTGATATATTTGTCTGATTTTATAGAATATTTGATTTGATAGAATATTTGTCTGATTTGGTAGGATATTTGTCTGATTTGATAGGATATTTGTCTGATTTGATTGGATATGTGTCTAATCTGATTGGATATTTGTCTGATTTGATAGGATATTTGTCTGATTTGATAGGATATTTGTCTGATTTGATAGGATGTTTGTCTGATTTTATAGAATATTTGATTTGATAGAATATTTGTCTGATTTGATAGGATATGTGTCTGATTTGATTGGATATGTGTCTAATCTGATAGGATATTTGTCTGATTTGATAGGATATTTGTCTGATTTGATAGGATATTTGTCTGATCTGATAAGATATTTGTCTGATTTGATAGGATATTTGTCTGATTTGATTGGATGTGTGTCTAATCTGATAGGATATTTGTCTGATTTGATAGGATATTTGTCTGATCTGATAGAATATTTGTCTGATTTTATAGAATATTTGATTTGATTTGATAGAATATTTGTCTGATTTTATAGAATATTTGATTTGATAGAATATTTGTTTGATTTGATAGAATATTTGTCTGATTTTATAGGATATTTGTCTGTTTTGATATAATATGTGTCTGATTTGATAGAATATTGGTCTGATTTGATAGAATATTTGTCTGAACTGATAGGATATTTGTCTGATCTGATAGGATATTTGTCTGATTTTATAGAATATTTGATTTGATAGAATATTTGTCTGATTTGATAGGATATTTGTCTGTTTTGATATAATATGTGTCTGATTTGATAGAATATTGGTCTGATTTGATAGAATATTTGTCTGAACTGATAGGATATTTGTCTGATCTGATAGGATATTTGTCTGATTTGATAGATTTAATGTCTAACATTAAATTATGAAACATCCTTAGCATCTGTAATTAAACAATGATGTCTCCCTATTTGTGTGACGTTAAACAATGATGTCTCCCTATTTGTGTGACGTTAAACAATGATGTCTCCCTATTTGTGTGACGTTAAACAATGATGTCTCCCTATTTGTGTGACGTTAAACAATGATTTCTCCCTATTTGTGTGACGTTAAACAATGATGTCTCCCTATTTGTGTGACGTTAAACAATGATGTCTCCCTATTTGTGTGACGTTAAACAATGATGCCTCCCCCAGAATGGTAAATATAACTTAACCAACGACTTCAAACTGTCCCTGGCTGTTGAGATAGCCTCGGGAATGGCCTTCCTGCATGTCAATGGTGTTGTCCACGGCATGCTGACCTCTTACTGCTGTTTGCTGGACAACAGGTGGACAGTCAAGGTAGGTAACTAGGCCGGTTAGTATACTCATCATGAATGGGGAAAACGTTTGACTTGGAATTAATCTATTTGAATTATAAGACATTCCGTGAATACTCTATTTAAAATAAAAGGCACACCATGAATGTATTTGTAAATTGAAAGAAACTCAATGAATACAATTTTACATAAATTATCAAAAGAAAATACAATTATTATTGAAATTAGCATGACTTAAACTTGATCAAATGACTCGTCAAATTACTTGATCAAATGACTCGTCAAATTACTTAATCAAAAGACCATAATTGAAACTGCGCCGAAGCTGTGGGAATGGAATAGTAGAAGATATGAGGAAGCTTGAATCTAGCTTGAATCTAGCTTGAATCTAGCTTGAATCTAGCTTGAATCTAGCTTGAATCTAGCTTGAATCTAGCTTGAATCTAGCTTGAATCTAGCTTGAATCTAGCTTTAATCTAGCTTGAATCTAGCTTGAATCTAAAGACAGGACAATAAGATGTCAACGTTTCGGCTTAAAGCCTTCTTCGGCAAACAGGACAATTGAAAATACGACAAGTAACATAGGACAGTAATGGACAAACACGAACAACTTAGGGACAGAAATGAAGAAAACCTTTTAGGAAATGGCACCATGAATTATCTGATGACATTGTTTTGTACGTGGCAGAATTTCGGAAACTTTGGGCTAACATTTGAGAACCATTGTGAAATAAATCTTCAGTCTACTATACAAAATTACTATACTTTACGACACCGTTTACTTCTAGGTTGGACTTTATAAAATTAAAAACTGTATAAGAAACAAGAAACATTATGTCCCTAAGACAAACAAGGGCTCTGAAACACATTTCATTTCAATAAATGTCAAGCTTATGTATGTTAAAAACTTGACATATAGTGACATATTTCATATGTATTAGTTGTCGCCCTGGTTTTTGATAATGGCACCAACTCGTTATCCCATTGGTCTTTTCATTAAAACAGTAGAAGTAGTTGAAGCCTGAATATAAAGACTGGGCAAGAAGATGTGAACGTCCATGTCTTCTTCATATTTGTCCATGTCTTCTTCATATTTGTCAATGTCTTCTTCATGTCTGTCCATGTCTTGTTCATATTTGTCCATGTCTTCTTCATGTCTGTCCATATCTTGTACATATTTGTCCATGTCTTCTTCATGTCTGTCCATGTCTTGTTCATATTTGTCCATGTCTTCTTCATGTCTGCCCATGTCTTCTTCATGTTTGTCCATGTCTTTTCATGTTTGTCCATGCCTCCTTCGTGTGTTTCCTTGTCTTTTTCATGTTAGTTGATGTCTTTTTTATGTTTGGCCATGTCTTCTTCATATTTGCACATGTGTTGTTCATATTTGCACAGATCTCTGACTGGGAGTACGTCAAGTTGCTGTCCATTCATAACCCCAGGAGAAGTCCACTCCTGACGTTGAAGACCAAGTCTGTTTTGTCAGAAAATCAATATGAAGCCATTTTCAAGTAAGTTACCAGAAATTTGAGACTCACTGTGCAGCAGAGGAACTGAAATACCTAGTGGTGCAATGGAAATGGTCTTTTAACTGAGATATACTGTCAGTGTGTATCTGTCAATGTGTATCTGTCAATGTGTATCTGTCAATGTGTATCTGTCAATGTGTATCTGTCAATGTGAAACTGTCAAGTATATATGAAGAGTCGATTTTCAAAACACGGTATCCGCCATTTTGAAAAAATGAGATAACTGTACTTTCTTGTAGAGCAAACCAGGCTCCTTTAGGACATGTTAAAGTTTAGCTACAAAACACATTTTAATCCTATATTGTTCTATGTCTAAAAATGATTTTATTTTCAAAACGCGGTGTGAATTTATTTTTTATTATCAAAATGCCGTATACATTTTCGGACCAATCCGTGAGCTTGGCAAGCTATACTGCGGCATTCTACGCGTGCGCACTAAACATCACGACGCGAAACAACAACAACGGTGCATAACGACGGCCTGGATGAAAGAGTTGTTTGTACTAGAAAATCTCGAAAAAGAAAGAATAAAATCTCAACAAGAGAAAAAGAAAAAATAATTTCTTCATTCAAGCGGAGGAAAGATCCCCACCGTCACGTGTGATCACGAGAACTGGTTCTGCAAGGTGAGTTACCGGTGACTTTATTAAAAAAACACTAAATTTCATTTTACATTATTATTATTATTGTTACTACACATCAGAATTGTTAAGGAAATGAAAATAAAAATTTGCTTTACAGAGTTAGCTGTGTTATTTAGTAAACATTCAATATTTTGCATTCAGATCCAACCATTACAGAAGAAAGGGCGCTCAAGGATTGAAATATTTGCCCTTGATTTGAATGTAAATAAAAAGTATCAACTTTTCCTGGAACAAAACCAAACAGCTATTGAAGATGATGGACACTCTGAATCAGACACTTCATTATGTTCTATTGTTTCGTTGTTCTAAACTCGAATAAAATGATTTGTGAATTGAACATTATCTTGTTTACTTTTGTTTAGAATTCAGATTTATAAAAACAAATGATGCAAACGTATAGCACTCTAAACATGACACTATTACAAGCGACTTCCCAGCATTTATAATACTGTTCTGTTAAAATATATCAATAAAAACCATTAATCATACACTATTATCTAATGTCTATGATACAATTTTATTTTATTTTGTTATGTAAGTGGTTTGTTATCTATCAACAACTTGAATTATTTGCTACTGGGAATAATGTTATGCTATCAAAATGGATACGCAGCATTTTGAAACGAAATAAGAAATTCAACCAAGTCAATAAATACATTTTTATTAACCTACATTCCAATTTTCATCATAATCTAACTTAGATTTTGAATATATATCTAAATTAGCATTTACTGTTCCGAAAATTTGAGCCATCATTGTGTAGCAAAAAAAAAGTAGATTATCTCAGAACGCCAAAAATGGAGATACAGTATTTTGAAAATCGACTCTTCATATGTCAATGTGTATCTGTCAATGTGTAACTGTCAACATCCCTTGTCGACATTTTCTGTAGTATCCTTAATAATAAAAGGATTTTTTTTTAAACTTTGCATCCTTTAAACATTTTTTTGTTTATTTCTGCATCTATCAAATGATTATTTTACCTGCGCATCTATCAAACAATGTTTTTTACCTGTGCATCTATCAATTGCATTTACCTGTGCATCTATCAAACAATGTTTTTTACCTGTGCATCTATCAATTTCATTTACCTCTGCATCTATCAAACAATGTTTTTTACCTGTGCATCTATCAATTTCATTTATCTCTGCATCTATCAAACAATGTTTTTTACCTGTGCATCTATCAATTTCAGTTACCTCTTCATCTATAAAACAATGTTTTTTACCTGTGCATCTATCAATTTCATTTACCTGTGCATCTATCAAACAATGTTTTTTACCTGTGCATCTATCAATTTCATTTACCTCTGCATCTATCAAAATTTTTTTTTTTTTTAAAGTTAAAATGCTGTTATTTATTTGTTAACCAATTTAAAGAAAGAAAGAAACATTGTGTACTTTTAAAAGTAAAGATATTCTTTAGAAAATGTTTTGCAAATCGAATTATTTCTGCCTCACTGAGTTCTCGCTTGCACTCAGTTTAGAAGCCAGCCATGTGATGCTAGATGCTTCTGGTGGTTAAATCATTTTTTAATCTTTAACGGATTAAAATAGAAAAACAATTTGGTCACGAGATTAATTAGGAAATCACGTCAGGAGAACGATTTAAAAAAGAAAAGTTGCCAGCCCGTCTGATTAAAAGGCAACCCGTCTGATTAAAAGGCAACCCGTCTGATTAAAAGGCAACCCGTCTGATTAAAAGGCAACCCGTCTGATTAAAATGCAACCCGTCTGATTAAAAGGCAACCAGTCTGATTAAAAGGCAACCCGTCTGATTAAAAGGCAACCCATCTGATTAAAAGGCAACCAGTCTGATTAAAAGGCAACCAGTCTGATTAAAAGGCAACCCGTCTGATTAAAAGGCAACCAGTCTGATTAAAAGGCAACCCGTCTGATTAAAAAGCAACCCGTCTGATTAAAAGGCAACCAGTCTGATTAAAACGCAACCCGTCTGATTAAAAAGCAACCCGTCTGATTAAAAGGCAACCAGTCTGATTAAAAGGCAACCCGTCTGATTAAAAAGCAGCCCGTCTGATTAAAAGGCAACCAGTCTGATTAAAAAGCAGCCAGTCTGATTAAAAAGCAGCCCGTCTGATTAAAAGGCAACCAGTCTGATTAAAAAGCAGCCAAGTCTGATTAAAAGGCAACCAGTCTGAATTTTTGAGCAACTGTCTTATTTATAGAGCAACCTGTCTGATTTATAGAGCAATATCTGACCATTGCCAATATCTGACCATTGTGTGATGCCAATGTCTGACCAATGTATGCTGCCTATATAAAACCATTGTATGCTGCACTTGACTAGCCATAGTATGCTGCCATATCTGACCTTTCTATGCTGCCAATATCTGACCATTGTATGCGCCAATATCAAACCATTGTATGCGGCCAATATCTGACCATTGTATACTGCCAATATCTGATCATTGTATGCGGTCAATATCTGACCTTTGTAAAATAAGTGCATTGCAGACACTCTCATACTCTCCTCATCAACAACGGTTACCATCACCTAGTACCATGTTCAAAGACATTTTTCATCACTGTCAATCTTCTGTTACTGGGGAGGTGAGATAATTGTTAGAAAATGATCAAGTCTATCAGCTAGCTGAGTTCACGGCGTTCAATCGATTTAGAAGAAATGCTCAAATGGTGTCAGGGAGATTAGGGAGGTCTCAACCCGTTCATTGTGGGTTAGCGCCAAACAAAGAGCTGAAGGAAGGATGAAAGCAAGGAGGGATCAAAGAAGGTGGGGTAAAGGGTAGATGGATAAAATGAATGATTAAATTATTGATTGACGCATACAATCATTGATGGATAAATGGATTGCTGGATTAAATGAATGATTCGATTATTGATTGACGCCACAATTATTGAAGGATTAAAAGGATTGCTGGATTAAATGAATGATTCAATTATTGATGGACGCATACAATTTTTGATGGATGAAAGGATTGCTGGATTAAATGAATGATTAAATTATTTATTGACACATACAATTATTGATTGACACATACAATTATTGATTGACACAAACAATTATTGATTGACACATACAATTATTGATGAATAAAAGGATTGATGGATTAAATGATTGGTGGATAAAAGAATGGGCGGAATAAAAGATTGGTGGACAAAAGGATTTATGGATAAAAAGATTGATGGATAAAAGGATGGGTGGAGTAAAGGATTGGTGGGAACAAGGATAGTTGGAGTGAAAGATTGGTAGTTAAAATGACGAACGGAGTAACGGATTGTTGGATCAAGGATGGGTGGAGCAAAGGAATGTTGCATAAATGGATTTATGCATAAAAGGAAGAGTCATCAAGTGTAATGCCAGGACCCAGCACTTGTGGTCGTGACGTCATGTCTCCGTGCCTTCACTTGTGACCAGGACACCATCTCAGTGAAATCGATTTCGAACTGTTTGTGAAGAGAGACCTGAAGAAATGACATGTGTAACGACGACCTTCTAAGATAGTGGCATCATGTGACCAATTGCGAAAGTAATGGACACTCCAAACCTAAAGTAAACAGAAGCTGTTGACCAACTCAGGCAGTATCAACAAACAAAAATATTCCAGATCTCTTTTATATCTTCAAATACAGTAGATCTTAATAGTTACTAATTTCATTTGTCAAAAGATAATATTTCACTGTGGTGAGGATTGTGTGGGGCATGTGTGGGGCATGCAAGTATTGAGATAATATTTCATTGTGGTGAGCAATGTGTGGGACATTGAGAAAGAGCTTTGGTAACGTTGTGATATGTCTGTGTAACACATGCTATTTTATTATTGGTGTAGCATGGTTCACTAATACTTTGTTTGATTGTCATGGATGCCGCTATCACTTGAGTAATATAATTAATTCTCTCACTCCTCAAATTTAACTGTCCTCTCACACCATGAATGAGGTGTCAACGTCCATGAATAAAATTACACGGTACTTTATCACACTCTATAACCACATTAAATAATATGCCTTGCTAGGTGGACATCCTGCAACAATTTCAGGATGCCAGCATTATACACTTATACAATAGTCCATATCCCAATCTGAATGACAATACTACAATACTTCAATAATTCACATGATAGAAAATCAAACAGGTCAGCTCGCTGTCAGAAAATGGTGTACTCTCTCGTTCAACTAAAGCGTTGGTGTACTCTCTCGTTCAACTAAAGCGTTGGTGTACTCTCTCGTTCAACTAAAGCGTTGGTGTACTCTCTCGTTCAACTAAAGCGTGCAGTTCATTCTCTTCTCCTTTCTCGTGAAATACGAGGTATTACAACTCTGTGCTCAAATTACTACGCCATCCTGACATAATAGTGTCGTGTGCAAAAGTACAGCCAACTTGGTCTGTTACTGTCTGCAGTGGAGAATCCCTTTGAAGGCAACCCTCTAGTGGAATTCGTCTCAGTTTTCAATGAATGGCTAAGACCAGGCCCGCACAACTCAAAATCTAAGGCGGGCCGTAATACTTAATAAAAAAACTTGTGCGGGCCAAGCCAACATAGGACAGGGGGGGGGAAGCTATTAAGAATATAATAAGAATAAAGAATATCTCGTAACTTCGCGGGGTGCTGGCGGGCCACATGCGGCCCGCGGGCCGTATGTTGTGCAGGCCTGGCTTAGCCAAATAATCATGGCATCTAAGATTTGGGCTATCTGGAAGTCTTGCTTCCTGTACTGGTGAACATTATCACATGTTAACATGGTTAACAAAAGTAGCCTTAAGTCTGCTACAGTCCAACGTCTCTTCATGTTGGCCGTCGTTAAGCCTCTGCTTTGAAGTATAATAATAATAATAATAATAATAATAAGAGGTCTTATATAGCGCGGTACCCCAGCCTAGGGCTGGGCTCACCGCGCTGTACATAAAAAATTTTATCAAAAGAGACATAATCATGACATTAAAATAAAATACATTTATGAAATAAAGAACAGCAATGTATATTCACCCACCCCACCACATAACTTTTACAAGGCAAACCCTGGACGGCAGCCAGCAAGATCGTTTATCGGTCAGTGGAGGGGAATCTGTCAGGGTAGTAGAATTTAAAAAGATATGTTTTGAGTGCAGTTTTGAAGACCTGGGTGGTTGGTATATTGCGTATGTGTAGTGGCAAAGAATTCCATTGTTTGGGGGCGCAGAAAGAGAAAGATCGTTCACCATATTTTAGTGTGTGTGTTGGGAACGGACAGAATGCGCGTGTCTGCAGAGGAGCGAAGCTGTTGAAGGGGTGAATAGACAGAAAGAAGTTCGGTTAGATAGAAGGGCAGGAATCCAAGAAAAAGTTGTGACAGAGAACAGACAACTTGTAGTCAATGCGTGCCTGTATAGGGAGCCCATGAAGGGAATGGAGTAGTGGAGTGACGTGATCACGTTTTTTGCATTTAAAACTAGCCTAGCAGCTGAGTCTTGAACTTTCTGCAGTTTTTCTATGCAGTATTTTGGTGAACCTGACAGAAGAGAGTTGCAATAGTCAAGACGAGAGAGAACAAGAGCACAGACTAGAGTTTTTTTTGTAGCGCTAACTGTGAGGTAGTGACGTATGGAGCTGATCTGACGGATAGTGGTGTATGCTGAACGACAAATGTGAGAAATGTGTTTATCGAGAGACATGTTGTTAGAAAGAATATAACCAGATTCCTAGCAGAGGGTGTAAACCGTACGTCAGAGTTACCTACTTGAAATGAGGTAGGAAGAGTTGAGGTAGAGGATGATGTGTGATTGTGGATGAGGAGTGGTTCCGTTTTGTCATCATTAAGCTTCAACTTGTCCAACTGACTTCAAGAATATTCGCCCGGTTTATAAAATTCTAAAATTCTTACGAGCATTGTGTCACAGCAGCTTTTGCATCATTTTAGCAATAATGACTTGCTTGATAAGTTTCAATCTACATATCGACCTGGACACAGTTGTAAGACGGCACTGATCCGTGTCATGAATGATGTTCCTTGTAATGCTGACCGCGGCGATCTGACACTATTGGTCCTGTTGGACCTCAGTGCTGCTTTTGATGTGACTGACCATGAGCTTTTTCTGTCAAGACTTGTGAATGGGGAGGGCATCTCTGGAACTGTCCTCTGCTGGTTTTCTGCTTACCTGACTGACAGGACTCAGTGTCTTGTAGTGAATCAAGCATATGCCATGCACACTTACATGCAGTGTGCCATAGGGATTAGAGTTGGGACCTGTTCTGCTCTCCATGGACACAAGGCAGATTGCCAGAATTATTGAAACTCATGGTATCTGTATGGAAGGCTCTGCACCTGAATATCTTAAAGAACTGATTTCTTAACTCGTATCCTTAAATAATCTGCCGTCTTCAACATAGTCCTTTCTTAGAGTTTTCAGTGTGGACACGCACACAAAGAATTCATGCGGGGTGCGATCGTTTGAAGCTATGGCACCAAGATAATGAAATAGTTTGCCTCAACCTTTGATGAAAATTTTAATTAATAAAATAATCATTTTAGAACCATTTAAAGACTTTTTAAAAAGATTCAAGAACACCAGAGCGCTATGAGCACACTCAAATAGCAAGGACCCAGGCGATATAAAAGTATTCAATCAATCAATTGTGGTGAGAAATGTGGATGGCACTGTGGTGACGAGTGGTGTGTGGGGCAATGTGGTGACGAGTGGGTGCAGCAATGTGGTGACGAGTGGGTGGGGCACTGTGGTGACGAGTGGGTGGGGCATTGTGTCGATGAGTGGGTGGGGCAATGTGGTGACGAGTGGGTGGGGCAATGTGGTGACGAGTTGGTGGGGCAATGTGGTGACGAGTGGGTGGGGCACTGTGGTGACGAGTGGGTGGGCCATTGTGCCGACGAGTGGTAGTGGGTGGGGCAATGTGGTGACGAGTTGGTGGGGCAATGTGGTGACGAGTGGGTGGGGCACTGTGGTGACGAGTGGGTGGGACATTGTGTCGATGAGTGGGTGGGGCAATGTGGTGACGAGTGGGTGGGGCACTGTGGTGACGAGTGGGTGGGGCATTGTGTCGATGAGTGGGTGGGGCAATGTAGTGACGATTTTTTGGAGCATCAGACATGGTTATTGAGTTGCACTTTCTTTAAGCAGAGATTTCTGGGCGGCCCCTGAGATCCTGAAGTCAGAGTTCCTCGCATGGCCATCTCCAGCCAGCGATGTCTACAGCTACGCCATCATTCTGCAGGAGCTCTTCACCAGAGAGGATCCATATTTTGAACTGGCAGACCACATGAGTCCAGAAGAGGTCGCTGATGATACTCATGTCTTAGATATATTTTATACTTGCCTATTTTTTAGATATCTTTCCCCCTGATGATATTTTAGATACTTATACAATCTTATCTTGCAAAATTATTATACCTGATAATTTGTTACACTTCAAATAAGCTTAGGCTTCAGTACTATTTACTGTAGTACTCTTGAATGTATTATTGTTTTGTTTCCTGTGCTACTTTGTTTACTAACTAATATTTTTACTGCACTACATTGTAGTTATTATGTTAAGCTATATGTTTGCCAGATCTTGCACGCTATCGTCCACAACCGACTGAGACCAGAGCCAAGCAGTGAAGCCCCGGTCACCATCCGACAGATCATGGAGCTGGCCTGGTCGGACACACCTTCAGCACGACCTACATTTGAACAGGTAAATATGACACTCTCGCCAAAACTGTTGGTCGGCTGACAAAGGGAGGGGGTGGGGGTTGTCTGATGAACAATTACATGAAGACTTCAACACTTTTTTACACCAATAACTGTCAACTACGGGGAAGTTCAGTTTGCTATCCTGAATGTGTAGGTGTAAGTAATTCTATGGCCTGGTCGCCGTGTAGGAACTAGGCGCATAATGTCAAAGAAAGACGTAGCTGTTTTTTAGTTGATGGCTGTGGCATCCGACTGCTTAGGACTCAGGTATTTAATTCTACGTGGAACATTTCAAACTCCAGGTACAAATGAAACAAGTACAAATAAAACACCAGATACAAATGAAACACCTGTTACAAATGAAACACTTGGTATAAATGAAACACCTGGTACAAATTAAACACCTGGTACAAATGAAACAAAAGTACAAATAAAACACCTGGTACAAATGAAACAAGTGATACAAATGAAACACTTGGTACAAATGAAACACTAGGTACAAATGAAACACCTCGTACAAAGAAACAACAGGTACAAATGAAACACCTGATGCAAAAGAAACAACAGTTACAAATAAAACACCTGATACAAATGAAACACTTGTTACAAATGAAACAACAAGTACAAATAAAACACCTGGTACAAATGAAACACTAGGTCCAAATTAAACAACTTGTACAAATGAAACACCTGGTACAATGAAACACCTGGTACAAATGAAACACTTGGCACAAATGAAACACTTGTTACAATGAAACACTTGGTATAAATGAAATGCTATTGGCACATGTTTTAAAGGTAAATCAATTATGATAATAATTCCAAAATTTGAAACATTGTTACATTAGCTTACAGCATCCTCAATAAGCCTTGGCTCTGTCACAAAATGTTTAGTTGTGTCAAAAAATTCTTGAATCTATCACACAACTATTTTCTTTGTCACAAAACTATTTGCCCTGTTCCGAAATCCTTGGCTCGGTCATAAAATGCTTGACATAAGGCACAGCCCCCCCCCCCAACATAAAACTCCGCCCCCAGAACATGGAACTCCGCCCCCCAACTGCTTGAGATATTGGCCATTGCCAATCATTTACCAAACCGATTAATCAGACAGATTTAATGTACAGAATGTTTCATCTTCATCAACAGATAACGAAGATGTTAAGGAGGAGTCGGACGGGGAGGAAAACGATCATGGACAACATGATGGAGGCGATGGAGGACTACACAGCCCACCTGGAGGAGGAGATGGAGGCAAAGGTAAGGGTGGGCGTGGTTGCATGTACCAACAATGGAGGACTACACGGCCCACCTGGAGGAGGAGATGGGGGCAAAGGTTAGGGTGGGCGTGGTTGCATGTACCAACAATGGAGGACTACACGGCCCACCTGGAGGAGGAGATGGGAGCAAAGGTAAAGGTGGGTGTGGTTGCATGTACCAACAATAGAGGACTACACGGCCCACCTGGAGGAGGAGATGGAGGCAAAGGTAAAGGTGGGTGTGGTTGCATGTACCAACAATAGAGGACTACACGGCCCACCTGGAGGAGGAGATGGGAGCAAAGGTAAAGGTGGGCGTGGCTGCATGTACCAACAATAGAGGACTACACGGCCCACCTGGAGGAGGAGATGGGAGCAAAGGTAAAGGTGGGCGTGGCTGCATGTACCAACAATTTAATCAGTTCCATGGAAATCGTGATGGAAGTACTGGTAGATGTGCGTAATAGTGCTGACGTACATTTGCCGATGGTTTATTGATGTACGTTTGCTGATGGTCTATTCATGTATGTTTGCTGACGGTCTATTCATGTATGTTTGCTGATGGTCTATTCATGTACGTTTGCTGATGGTCTATTCATGTATGTTTGCTGATGGTCTGTCTATGGATATACATTTTCTGATGGTCTATTGATGCCCGTTTGCTGATGGTCTATTGATGCCCGTTTGCTGATGGTCTATTGATGCCCGTTTGCTGATGGTCTATTGATGCCCGTTTGCTGATGGTCTATTGATGCCCGTTTGCTGATGGTCTATTGATGTCCGTTTGCTGATGGTCTATTGATGTCCGTTTGCTAATGGTTTATTGCTGCATATTTGCTGATGGTCTATTGATGCCCGTTTGCTGATGGTCTATTGATGCCCGTTTGCTGATGGTCTATTGATGTCCGCTTGCTGATGGTCTATTGATGTCCGTTTGCAAATGGTTTATTGCTGCATATTTGCTGATGGTCTATTGATGTATACTTGCTGAATGACCAATTGATGTTTTCCAATTATCCTATTGTAGTGTGTCTGCGAATGGATAATTATTCTTTGTCTTATGTTTGTTTGTCGTCTTATGGTTGTTTGTCTGATGTTTGTATGATGTTTGTATGATGTTTGTCTGATGTTTGTCTGATGTTTGTATGATGTCTGTCTGATGTTTGTCTGATGTTTGTATGATGTCTGTCTGATGTTTGTATGATGTCTGTCTGATGTTTGTATGATGTTTATATCCATGTCTGTCTGATGTTTGTATGATGTTTGTATGACGTTTGTCTGATGTTTGTCTGATGTTTGTCCCATCATTGTTTGTCTGAAGTTTGTCCTATGGCTGTTTGTATGATGTCTGTCCTATTGTCGTAGGTGTTCTGATGATCTTATCCTATGCTGTAACAGGAGTCAACTATCCTGTCCGTCAAGTCTGACCTTGACAACCTAATGGCTGAATTGGTCCCCGCCCCATTCATGACGTCATTGCAGCAGGGTGAGAAGGTTGAGTCGCGGCTCTATGCGGCGCTAGGGCTGGTCATGATGGAACTTGTGGAAGGCAGTGGAGCCTTGCAGGAGAACGGTGTGGAGCAGGCCTTCAAGTTTCTGGGGGCCTTGACGTCACAACTCTCACAAGTAGGTCATCTAAGGTTCTTGTTCGTTGCTCAAGTTTAGTATGTCAACAATGGTTGATCTTATTGTAACCGCAATATTTTATTTGAAATATGTGGCCAATTTAGTCTCGGAATCTTAGTGCAGTAGTGCATGTAGCATCCATAGTGCTACCAGTGCCAGTAGTGCTGCCAGTGCCAGTAGTGCTACCAGTGCCAGTAGTGCTACCAGTGCCAGTACTGCTACCTGTGCCAGTAGTGCTCCCGGTGCGATTAGTGCTACCATTGCCAGTAATGCTACCAGTGCCAATAGTGCTACCATATCTCTTTGATAGGTCCCAACGTTATATGTTAACTTTTGTTTAAGAAGTGTTCGTATATCTTTATGGTGGGGGTGGGGGGGGTACTTTAAAATTGGGAAGGTTTTTGAAAAGATTTTAATGAAACAATTTTTACAGATTAATGTAACAAACATATAAATCATATGTAACTGACTTGTGACATTTGCGCAACAAGTCTTATTTGTGATCCAATTCTTACAAACAATTAAAGCTAAGAAATCATTATGAGACAATTTTATCTCATCGCTTTAATGACATGGCAGAGTGACAAGTCACAAATTTACATATATGTCCAAACTGGAACAAAGTAACTGGTATGACATCATCTAACTTCATTCTTTTCCAATTACGAACTGATCTAAGGTAGCAGCTCCGATTCCATGTAAAATTTCTTAAATAAATCATCAATGCATTGATTCTTCAAAGGGCACAAAATCCATTCAAATCAATGTCTGTACTTCATTCCTGTCTCTCTGCGCATGACATCAAAATCCTCATCTTAAGACATCTAAATGACGGAACAATAAAATATATAGAGAGCTGTTACAATCACCTTCTTATAAGACTAAAGTGTTTTGACATTGCTCTTCGTCCTAATGTATGCATCTCAAGCTGCGGTTCTCAACCTGTGGTTCGCGACCCCTTTGGGGGTCGAACGACCCTTTCCCCAGGGGTCGCATAAGACCATCGGAAAATAAATATATTATAAATGTATAATTTACTTTCGAAAATTATTTTTTTGGGGTGTTGCCACAACATAAAGAACTTTATTAAAGGGTCGTGGCATTAGGAAGATTGGGAACCACTGACCTAAAAGTTGGGGCACAAATACGACACTACGCAGGTAAACAATTTTTAAAAGTTAGTGTTAAGGTTAGTGTTAGGGTTAGAGTTAGTGCTATGGTTAGTGTTAAGGTTAGTGTTAGGTTTTGGGTTAGGTTTAGAGTTAGTGCTAGGGTTAGTGTTAGGTTTAGGGTTAGGTTTAGGGTTAGGTTTAGAGTTAGTGCTAGGGTTAGGGTTAGGGTTAGGTTTAGGGTTAGGGTTAGGGCTAGTACTATCGGTGCATTTTAAGTGGTCAATTAAATTGTGTCTTATCGACCAGACGCTCATCTGGGCCCTCGACAGATTGACAGCTTTAACATTTTCTTATATATGTATATATATCAATGTGCATTAGTTAGTAAGTTAGTTGATGTTTTCTTTAATTCTGTCCTCGCAACTATTGGACCTATGGAGCTGACATTTCTGCAATAGTTCTATAGTACTCTAGAAATAACATTTGGTTCAAGATTTTAATTGTACTAAGGATATTTATGATAAGGTCTATAAAGAGCCCCCCCCCCCCTTTTCCCCTCTTTCAGCGATTATTTCTACACCTTATGGACCGAGACTTTTGAAAGGGGCCTCTCAATTTATTTACAATAATTCTTGAACATTATTTAATGGCTTTTGATATAGCTCTTTCTGAGACAACTTATGGAAAGACCTGAAGATTTTAAATATGACCTTAAATGTTTCTTGGAGGAAACGAAAAAGGTTTGACCTTTATGGGATGAATAGAACATTATCTTTGGGACTGGACTCTAACTGAGACCCTTGTGACATCACATGGGCCGGTCTGTTACGTTAGACCTGTGTCAATGTCATCCCGAGTAAAGACGGGTCTAGCAGCTAGTCATTCCGAGTAAAGCCGGGTCTAGCGCTTAGTCATCCCGAGTAAAGCCGGGTCTAGCAGCTAGTCATCCCGAGTAAAGCCGGGTCTAGCAGCTAGTCATCCCGAGTACAGCCGGGTCTAGCAGCTAGTCATCCCGAGTAAAGCCGGATCTAGCAGCTAGTCATCTCGAGTAAAGCCGTATCTAGCAGCTAGTCATCCCGAGTAAAGCCGGGTCTAGCAGCTAGTCATCATGAGTAAAGCCGGGTCTAGCAGCTAGTCATCATGAGTAAAGCCGGGTCTAGCAGCTAGTCATCATGAGTAAAGCCGGGTCTAGCAGCTAGTCATCATGAGTAAAGCCGGGTCTAGCAGCTAGTCATCCCGGGTAAAGCCGGGTCTAGCAGCTATTCATCCCGGGTAAAGCCGGGTCTAGCAGCTAGTCATCCCGAGTAAAGCCGGGTCTAGCAGCTAGTCATTACATTTTTGTGGACATCGTTATTTAATATTTATTTTCTTTATTACGTTTAATGGCATGCATCCCGCCAAAAATTGTCCCATGATCTAAATGGCCCGCCAAAAATTGTCCCATGATCTAAATGGCCCGCCAAAAATTGACTCAGGATCTAAATGGCCCGCCAAAAATTGACTCATGATCTAAATGGCCCGCCAAAAGTTGAGGCATGATCTAAATGGCCCGCCAAATATTGACTCATGATCTAAATGGCCCGCCAAAAATTGACTCAGGATCTAAATGGCCCGCCAAAAGTTGAGGCATGATCTAATTGGCCCGCCAAAAGTTGACTCATGATCTAAATGGCCCGCCAAAAGTTGACTCATGATCTAAATGGCCCGCCTAAAGTTGAGTCATGATCTAAATGGCCCGCCAAAAGTTGACTCAGGATCTAAATGGCCCGCCAAAAGTTGACTCATGATCTAAATGGCCCGCCAAAAGTTGAGGCATGATCTAAATGGCCCGCCAAAAGTTGACTCAGGATCTAAATGGCCCGCCAAAAGTTGACTCAGGATCTAAATGGCACGCCAAAAGTTGAGGCATGATCTAAATGGCCCGCCAAAAGTTGACTCAGGATCTAAATGGCCCGCCCAAAGTTGACTCATGATCTAAATGGCCCGCCAAAAGTTGAGGCATGATCTAAATGGCCCGCCAAAAGTTGACTCAGGATCTAAATGGCCCGCCCAAAGTTGACTCATGATCTAAATGGCCCGCCCAAAGTTGACTCATGATGTAAATGTCCCGCTAAAAGTTGACTCATGATCTAAATGGCTAGCCAAGTGTTGACTTCAATTAAAGAGGCCCGCCAACAATTGACTCATGATCCAAGTTGACCTTGTAGCCAATTGGTTTGGTCAACCCTGTGTTAGTTTCAGACCAAGGTCCACCCAAATGACAAACGCCAAACACAAGTTTCCAATGCAGGTCGAATGTCGGTCATTGCCCTCTACATCTCCTTCACAGGTAATCAAAAGGTACGATGCTTACAATCCTTACAGTCAGGTGTACCAGGTGCAGACCTACGTCCTGGGATTTGAGAAGCCACATGACTCGTTGACTGACAGGTGCCACGCCACCGCTCACTTAGCATTGGACATTTTAAAGGTGTCTGTGTTGGTGTGTCTGGTTTAATGTGTCTGAGAAGAATCGTCTGTGTTGATGTGTCAGCGTTGATGTGTCTTTGTTGATGTGTCAGCATTGATGAGTCTGTGCTGATTTGACAGCGTTGATGTGTCTTTGTTGATGTTTCAGCGTTGATGTGTCTGTGTTGATGTGTCAGCGTTGATGTGTCTGTGTCGATTCGTCATCGCTGATGTTGATGTGTCTGGTTGATGCATCTATATTAACTTAATGTGTACACGAGCAGATGTGTGTAGATGATGTGTACACGAGCAGATGTGTGTAGATGATGTGTACACGAGCAGATGTGTGTAGATGATGTGTACACGAGCAGATGTGTTTAGATGATGTGTACACGAGCAGATGTGTGTAGATGATGTGTATAGACTGATCTATACAGAGATTAAAGCTCTATCTTTAAATCAATACAAAGATAGTGACTAGTATCGATTAGTTAAAACAGAGATAATTATTATCAATTATTCCTCAGAAGTGCTTTGACTGGTATCGATTACCTAAAACTTGGTTTATCACTGGTATTGATTATTTAAATCCTGGTTGTGACTGGTATCGATTATTTCATACCTAGGTTGTGACTGGTATCTGTTATTTACTAATAATTTGTGACTGGTATCGATTCTTTCATACCTAGGTTGTGACTGGTATCAGTTATTTAATAATAATTTGTGACTGCTTTCGATTACTTAATGACTAGGTTGTGACTGGTATCGGTTATTTAACACCTAGGTTGTGAATGGCATCTGTGATACCAACAGTCCCAAGTCACCTGTACAGGTGCGCCTCAGCGCCCACGTCGGGTCGGTGGCCACAGGAACCATCGGGGTGACGTCACCCCGGTTTGTGCTTGACGGTGCTGGCATCAATGCGGGTCGAGCCCTGCTCGCGTGCTCTGACGTCAACGTGGTCAAAATCTCGCGAGGACTGTACAGTCAAATTGAGAAGAATCCAGACTTTACATTTTCATCTAAAGACTCTGAGTGGATAACGTGTAATGTAAGTGATGGATAACTTGTAAGTGATGGATAACTTGTAAGTGATGGATAATTTGTTATGAACGTTTATGGGTAACTTATAATCTAAGTGAAGGATAAAATGTAATGTAAGAGATGAGTAAATTGTAATGTAAGTGATGTTCTTTATCTATCTACACATCATAACATTACAAATTATGTTTTTTGCCTCCTCCCTATTTAATACCTGTAAGACGAATATTTCACACGGAATAGATTTTATTTAACTGTATTGACCTTTATCGCATAGGAAATATATATTACTTAACTGTATTGACCTATAACTAACATGAAATATATATTATTTACCTGAAATTACCTATATCTCGCAGGAATAAATATCACTTAATATCTGTATTAACCTATATCCCACAGGGAATAGTTATCACTTACATGTATTGACCTATATCTCACAGGGAATAGTTATCACTTACCTGTATTGACCTATATCTCACAGGGAATAGTTATCACTTACCTGTATTGACCTATATCTCACAGGGAATAGTTATCACTTACCTGTATTGACCTATATCTCACAGGGAATAGATATCGAGGCGTTCGTTTTGACAGGGAGACACAACGAGAATTTCCAGATCTCCTCCGACACGTCAGTTGATTCGGGTGTCTACGGTGACCTGTCACCCATCAAATCAGCCCTGCCTGTGACTACAGGTAAACACAATGACCTGTCAACTTTCTCATAAGTCCAACCTATGACTGCAGGTAAACACAATGACCTGTCAACTTTCTCATAAGTCCCACCTATGACTGCAGGTATATACGATGACCTATCACATTCCGAATCATCCCACCACATGACAGCATGTAACTCATAGGTTCCGTGTAGTACTGGGAGATTGCTGAAAATCTCAACTCCTGTGTTCATTAATAAGACAATTTGATTCCATTATTCAGAAGTCATGACGAGATGTTGATACACACTGAATGTGTATTCCTATTTATTGATGTAGTGGACACATCAGATTAGTATCCCCTTTAACACAGTAGATTAGTCTCTCCTTTAACACAGTAGATTAGCTCCCCTTTAACACAGTAGATTAGTCTCCCCTCTAAAGCTTACAAAAATTGAACACATTACAAAAGTGTTAACAAAGTTCCAAATAGTTTTGACAGCTTATGACGTCATATTAATCTCTAAATTTAATTTAGGTTTTTTTATTGAAACTGTGAAGAGAATTAGAAGCTATCTGAAGCTGATTACGGAATAGGTAGTACTGAAACTCTATTCCAGGTGGAAGGGTTGGTCTTTTTGGTGGTATCTGAGGGTATGTCTGCGATTATTTCTTCGTATCGTGATAGCAAGTTGTAGAACATGATCCAAAGTCTGCTTGGTCTATCCCAGTGGTTCTCAACCTATGGGTTGCGACCCCTTTGGGGATCGTGCGACCCTTTCCAAGGGGTCCTCTTAGACCACCTGAAAATGCATATCCTTACAGCTATGAAGTAGCAACGAAAATAATTGTGTGGCTGGAAGTCGCTACGACACGAGTAACTTTATGTAAGGTTCGCAGCACCAGGAAGGTTGAGAACCACTGGTGTATCCTTATTCAACGTCTGCTTGGTGTATCCGTATTCAAAGCTTTTAAATTGTTCATAAACTCCGTTTATATTTAAAAGCCAATTTGATTTTCTCATCTTCAGCTCAAACAAGGTCAATGTTTGCCACCAAGATGGAGCAGGCCAAGACATTTCTGCCGTCCAGAACTGAAAGGAGGTCAGAGAAATCGGCATCATTCTCAACGACGGACGAGCTGCAGACCACGAGGCCCCGCAGGTCAAAGGTCAACGGTCGTGAAAGCAAACGCCAACGCGCCACAACGTGTGACCATCGTCTGAAAGGTCCCAGCATGCCACCTGTCACTGAGTTCCGGACAGCTCATCTTCCCTCACATCCGTTATCAAGAATATCCGAGCAGAGTGACGACTCTGACACGACGGGCTCAGGAATAGGTCCACCTCAAGCAAAGACCGGAAGTTCAGAGACTTCCGGTGTGGTCCACACATTGCCGCACAGGCTAGACGTTCAAATCGGTCCACCTAGCTCAACAGTCCACACCAGAAGACATCACAGGCATCAAAGACATCACTCACCAGAGATCTCGTCAGTTCCGTTTAAGAATTCACATACAACTGTTCATAGAGATTTCATCCCAGAGATGTCGCATGGTCCTACCAAACACAAAACTTCGCATTTGAGCAAGAGAACTATCACTCGGTCCCGCTCGGCAGATGCAAGGCGCAATGTTAGCGACAGTAGCTGCAGCGATGAAGACTTGGACCGGAAAGGTTCTGGTTTAAAAAATAAAACTTTGAAGTCTGCTAAACCCAAACGAAGAAGAAGCCATAGTCAGGAACCAGAAAGAGAGGCAAAGCGTCATGCTATGCGAAGAGCGTCGTTAGGAAGTGACGTCATTGTTCAGGACTTTATTGCATTAGATGAAGGTCATGGGAGGTTTAGAACACCAAAGAAAGGAAATAAAGTTTATCCTATGTGAAACAAAGCACCATTTATTAAAATAATCTCAATTTTTTGTTCATGTTTCCAACGATATGTTTCCATAGATACAAGTTTCATAGCCTTTCAAATAAAAACTGAATGATAAAAGTTGAATCCTGAATAAAAAGACAAAACAAAAACGTTAAGGTACTGGCTGAAAGCCTTCCTTCGAACAAAACAACGAAAATAGAACATTGAAAATAATCCAAAGAATTCGTGGCTAAAAACCATTTCCTGTCATCTACGTAGAGCTTAGCCTGATTTCGTTTTGTATAAATAATCTTTAAAAAGATAAGATAAGATAAGATTCTTTTATTGATTCAAACAAATGGACACGTTTTTTATGGCATTGCACATTTAGAGTTTCATCACATCAATAAATACATGTTTTAATAAAGTCACATTTCCCAATATGTTAATAAAGTCAAATTTCCCAATGTGTTAATAAAGTCACATTCCCCCAATGTGTTAATAAAGTCACATTTCCTAATGTGTTAATAAAGTCACATTTTTCCAATGTGTTAATAAAGTCACATTTCTTAATGTGTTAATAAAGTCACATTTCCAAATGTGTTAATAAAGTCACATTTCCCAATGTGTTAATAAAGTCACAATTCCCAACTATTCAACTAAAGATAACGCATTGTAGATGTTAGGCGTTGCATCAATATAAAGAATTTAATCTCTCATTTAAGTATATGGCTCGTTGAAAAACAGTCCACAACAAAAGACGATACCATACGCTAAATACAATAACAAAGACAACAAGACCCAAACAAGGGTTAATTACAATTAATAATTTATTTAGTAAGTTAATTATAAATTACAAAATTTAAAAAAAAATAGAAATAGAATTGAGTTACAGTATAATGATGGCTTGTACGGGTACATTGTTGAAGAAGATACAATGTTGTAAAAGTTACAATGTTGAAAAAGAAGTTACACAGAGTAAGTATAATTATGCAAATCTTCGTCTCGTAATGTGTTGTAAAAATATTTCTGCCATGTCAAACCATCTAATGACGTATATATATATAGCCTGTTTCAGATACATTTCTAGAACGGGCTTACACTATGTATTTCTTTCTTGATTAGTCGTGATTGTTCTGCGTAATTCTAACTATACAGGCCATAGATTTTATTGAATTGTAAACAAGATCAAGGGAGACTATTTTAAATGGTCACGCCCAACATGCAGTGTGGACTGGGGGTCAGTTTAAGTTCATTCACGGGGAAAGTTGACGTAAATAGGTCGACTACATGACAATAAATGTCTTGTGCTTAGAATGGTTTCTTCGGTTTAAAAACATCCAATCAGTGAGCTCCCTTAGTCATAACAAGGACTTAATTGGTGATCATTTAGATTTTGTGACCTCTGTAGGGGCAGTCTCGCTAACTCGTACAAAAGGATTTTTATATCTTTCAGTCCTCGCCTTCACAGACAGAATTCGTCCCGAGGGGGGGGGCCGATCTTACGAATCAGTTTTCAAGACGGTGGGATGTTAATTCCACTAAACACTCTATCCCTTCCTCTGTTCCAACATCCACCAACCTACATACTCACCCACCAATGCATCCACACATCAAAATATCCAACCTACATACTCACCCACCAATGCATCCACACATCAAAATACCCAGGACTGTCAAGAGGATTATTAAGTGTTGGAACTGGGCCCCCCTCACTGTCCTCCTCACATACCTACATGTGGACATATAAATTAATAATGTCATTATGTATTATTTACATTCAAGCATACTGGCAAATGTATATTAAAAAGAGGACAGGTACTTCAGTAAATGATAATAAAAACAATAATACACATTAGTATAACCAGTGCAGCATCTAAACACTTATGACTTATTTGACAAGTTTCAATCTGCATATCGACTTGGGCACAGCTGTGAGACGGCACTGCTCCGTCTTATGAATGATGTTCTTTGTAGTGCTGACCGTGGCGATCTGACCATTTTGGTTCTGTTGGGTCTCAGTGCTGCTTTTGATGTGATGAACCATGAGCTTCTTCTGTCAAGACTTCTGAATGTGGCAGGCATTACTGGAACTGCACTTCGCTGGTTTTCTTCTTATCTGACTGACAGGACTCAGCGTATTGTACTGAAGCAGGAACCTTCCATGGACACTTCCGTTACCTGTGGTGTGCCACGGGGCTCAGTTTTAGGAACTATTCTGTTCTCCATGTACACTAGCCAGCTCGGCAAAATTATTGAAAGTCATGGTATTTCCCGCAACATATTTGCAGATGACACAGAACTATACAAGTGTTTCCGCCCTGATCCCTCCCTCGGAGTGTGCTACTGCTGATCAGGCTGTCGAGGACTGACGTCTTGCTGTGAAAGTTTGGATGTCATCAAACAGACGAAAATGAAATGATGATAAGACTGAGGCAATTATTTGTGGTTCAGACGCCAATCTTCGGAAAGTTACCATTGCATCAATAATAGTTTGTGAATCAGAGATCCCTGTCACAGAACGGTTGTTACGGAGGAGGGCTGCGATCCTGACTTACCACGAACTGTGTTGACTAAGTAGTGGTCAGTACAGGACCGCTCCTCTCTGTGATTTATATGGTGGGTGTCTAGGCGTTGAGACAGACAAAAGCACAACGTAGACTTGGACGAAATGCAACAACTCAAACTCCTGGTGTCCAACGATAATGAAAGTGTTTATTTGTAAGATATAAGTTCTTCTAGTCATCTGTCGTCTCCTGATCACTAGCAACTATTCCCTAACAACTGCTTGATTCTATCGTAGCTCTTTTCTCTCTCTTCCTCAACTACGTCGTACCTCTGTTCCCTCTTACTCAACTAAATTAACTCAGTGAAAGCTCCCTCTTATATGTGGTTCTCTACCCCCCATAGGTGGTCCAGGAATGCTATCTATAAACACACCCATGCCCCCTAATTTCCGGTCAATTAGACCTTCCCATTGTTAACCCAAAAATTATCATGCGAAGTCCGGAAAACCCGAACATACTATTATCCAAAGAAACAATCCCCCACTATATCAAGATGTGAGAGTCTATTAACCTTAACTTAACCCCATTAACAGCAGTTTCCTTCCATCCTATAAGTTACTTTAACAACAATGGAGCTCTGTCCTATACCCCCGCCCCAGTCATTTGTGACAATCCCGTTGTCCACGACTGTCAGAAATATTGGCTTTTATATTGACAGTAAACTTAGTATGATTCCCCTTATCAGTTCTGTGGTCAAGGCTTGCTTCTGTCATCTGCGTGCCCTGGGTCAGCTGCATTCTCAACTCAATAGGAGAACAGCCAATGCTGTAGCAGTAACTCTAATCCAGTCAAGATTAGATTACTGTAATAGTTGTTTGTGGGGTTTACCTCAGAACCAAATTCAAAGACTCCAAAAGATACAAAATACTGCAGCACGCATTGCATCGCGGATGAAAATATCTGACCACATCACCCCAGTTCTACTAGATCTCCATTGGGTTCCTGTGAGTGAGCGCATTAACTACAAAATCCTGGCGTACAGCTGCATTGAAGGGTCTGCATCGCAATATCTTAAAGAACTGATTTATAAACATGTATTTATTTATTTATTTATTGAGGCATTTTTATATAGCGCTTACCATAAAGCTCTAAGCGCTTTACAATTATGAAAAACCTGTAAACTAAGTAAAATAAAAAAATGAGACACTGGGATAGTAACTACTGTACTATAGAAACAATTAAAATGGCTATAAAACGAGGACACTTTGACACGTTTTGGCCTATACTTCAGGATCAACCCGAAACAGAAAATGAGGCAGGGCAAGGAGGGTGCATCACAGGTCATAGGCGGACCTAAACAGATGAGTTTTAAGGGACTTTTTGAAAATGGACGAGGTTTCACCTATGACGGATACGGGAGCTTCATGTATCCGTGAAGAGCTGGCGGTCTTCATCATAGTACTTGCTGAGTGTTTCTAGAGTGGATGAACACAGAAAAAAGTCGTACGGAGTGCGCTCTTTTGAAGCGATAGCGCCAAAATTATGGAACAGTTTGCCTAAATCTTTGGGGGAATTGTAAATGATAAAAAATCATTTAAGAAGCAATTTAAAACATTTTTGTTTAAATAGTTTTAGGAGGACCAGAGCGCAGTGAGCATGTTAGAGTGGCATGGACAACGACGCGATATCAATATCAAATCAATCAATCAATCAATAATCATAAGAACTGAATGTAAGGCTCAATTGATTGCTTGCTCATAACAGTTTTTATTGTGGAGATGAAATGACATTTTTCTTGGAAAAATTGCGAAGGACAAATCATCAAAATCAACCGTTTTGCAAGATCCAAGGACTACTAATCCACAACACATCCACCCAGCAATACATGCACCCACCAAAACCTCCCAAAACCACACGCAAACTAAATCAGTTGCATCCAGCAGGTAAAACCTTTTTTTACTTGACGCAAAAGATCACTAGCACCAGGAAGCACCAAGATGACCCAGGAAGCACCATGATGCACCAAAACTGAATCAACACCTTGTAAAAACAGTATTTTCTGTCGTCTGCTTAGGTCAGAACATTGACATCGGCTTAACTCTTCACACAAGTTGTCTTATCAGGTGTTATCATAACCCGACCCGTGTTGCACTAAGTACATTTTAGACATCCACTCCATTTGTGTACTTACAAAGCAGCCATTGAAATACTTCCAACTTATACTTCATATACTAATTATACCAGTGTTGGACTGCGATAAAGCTTTTAAGTAGATTAATGAGATACAAACAGTTCGTGTAAATAAAAGATCAAAGGTAAAGTTCAATCATGACTATACACAATACAAATGCAGGTCAAGGCAAAGAGATGGCAACCGTGAAGTAACACACGGCCGCCATCTTGGTTACCGCGACACGTGAACTTTGACGGGGTCACAGGTCGTGGCATCTAAGATGGCGGGCATGGAGAAAAAACTCACGTTGGCTAAAACTAGGAATAAAACGCTAAAAATTAATGAAAAGAAAGTCCTAA